TACGGGCTCATCGGGCGGGAGCTGTGGAGGAGCCGGGGGCCGCTGGGAGGCCCGGGGGCCTCCGGGCGGGAACGGGGCCACCGGCAGACGGTCCGCGTCCTGCGTAAGTGGCGCCGCGTCTGTTCCACACGCACCAACCCGCTGGTCTCCCAGCCCCTGGCGCTTCCGCTCCTGGGTCCCCGGGGCCGCCCTGCGGGTGGGCTACCAGGTCCTGTAAACAGCAGTGCTTTTCAGAGCCGCTGGGACCCGTGAGCTGCTGGCCCGAGGACAGGAATTGGAGGCTCTTAGATGTCCCTGTTGGAGGCCGCAGATGGGGGTTCTCACAGTATCCTTGAGAAGACAGGGTAGATCACGTTAAGCTAAAATGTCTTTACTTAATGCTAAATTTTCCTGAAGGTTAAAGTGAACCATGCCCATAAGAACAAATAAATACATGAAAGACCCGTTTCAGAATTCTTTTCAACGGAAAGCAGAGAACATGTCGCTGAGTGGCTGTGTGGAAGGGAGCCTGTCAGCTTGTTAATAGAAATTGCTCCTTCTGCTTTATGTCCAGCCTTGGTAGCACATATATTAGCCACATATGCAACTTTAAAGCAAATATAGATGGGCTGGGGATTTGGTTAGGTCAAGGTTTTATCTAATTGTTCTGCTGTTACTTACTACTTCCGATGGTTTCTTGGGGACCCTTGCTCGTTTTTAAATGCTTTAGCTAATCCCGGTGCCTCTGTCTTGTTTTGCAGTGGTGGTGGTTCTGTCATTTATAGTTTGCTGGTTGCCTTTCCACGTTGGCAGAATCATTTACATAAACACGGAAGATTCTCAGACGATGTACTTTTCTCAGTACTTTAACATTGTTGCGTTGCAACTTTTCTATCTAAGTGCATCCATTAACCCAATCCTCTACAACCTCATTTCAAAGAAGTATAGAGCTGCGGCCTGGAAACTACTTCGAGGGAGACAGCCGGCACAGAGAGGTGTCTGTAGAAACAGAAACACGGAGGGGACCACGGGAGGAGACTCGGCTGGCTACACCGAGACCAGCACTAGCCTGCGGACGCCTGCCGCTAGCGTGGCCAAGCAAGTCGCCTCCTCCCACAGTCCTGGGACTTCGGAGAAAACAGGTCTGTAGGACCATAAGGACTGAAAGGGGAAACGACGCTGTTAGGAAGAATTAGAAAGAGGGGTGCACATTGTGTAAGTTGGCCGGTAACTTTGTTAGCATAATGTTTTTTCAATCAAGATACAAAAAGTGTACCAATCTTTCTAGTTTTCCTGTCATGTACCTCCTCAGAGACATTCATTTTAGCCTCATGCAATCCTAATCACGAAATGTGCTCTCGGGAGGTTTTACACGTCTTCATTCTACTGGTCTTTGGAAATATCATTGTTCATTTTACAGTTCATAAGATACAGAGAAATGCTGCAATAAAAAATAGTTGCCTTTGAGATCAAAGGTGTATTTTGTTTTTATGCTTTGTAAATAAATGTTATGGTGCATATACAAGGAACCCAGGATAATGACAGTATTGATTCAAGAAATTATTTAATGTCTATTTATGGCAGCAAATTTTTTAGAAGCAAGTGAAAGGAATTCTGGGCTGAGTTCAATGTTCAGAGCCCTACCTCTCTTGGCTCAGACCAAATCATAAAGTTTAGGCACAATGCCTGCCTGCCGAACTACTGTGCATAAGCAACTGTTGCAACCTACTTATCTGGCCAGGAGGTAGCAAACTCAGGCAGGAAGCCTGAGGGCAAGAAGCTACAGCAAGACCTGGCTTCTGGACATTTATAAAGAGCTTTCATACACCTTATTTGCCTCAGGTTGGTGGCTAAGTGTTGTCATGATTACTGCTTTAGTAGTGATAAAACTGAGTCTTAAATTTCCCAAATAGGAACTGATGGGTCTTAAGAACTCCAGTCTTTAAGATCTCTTATTTTAAAAATAAAACAATAATTTTACAACTCATTTAACAGCAGCTGGTAATCCTGAAATTAGCAGTGGTTATCCTATTGCGCTAGCGGTGCTGTCGTTTCCTGAGGTTGATCAAAGTCACCTGGAGTCACACATTTCCCACTCAAGATGCATCGTATAAATCAGACTTGGTTTATCACCAGCATTTATAAAACCAGACGCAGGGAAAGAACGAGGCCTGGGCACACATGCCTGGTCTTAATATAGTGAATGTGTAGCCTGCCCTGATTATTACAAAATCAGAACAGGGAGATTATTCGCAATCTTTAAGATCTATACCCACTCCCACTCGTGAAAAACACAAGCCAGCGGATGTAGTCAAGGGTGAAGGAGATCGTGTTGGACATTCTGACCAACAACTCTGTAACCTTGTTTTATTTTTTACAGTTTAAAACATAAACCTAGCCCTGACTGGTTTGGCTCAGTGGATAGAGCATCGGCCTGCAGACTGAAGGGTCCCAGGTTTGATTCCGGTCAAGGGCATGTACCTTGGTTGCGGGCACATCCCCAGTAGGGGGTGTGCAGGAGGCATCTCATCAATGTTTCTCTCTCATCAATGTTTCTGACTCTCTATCCCTCTCCCTTCCTCTCTGTAAAAATATCAATAAAATATATTTTTAAAAAACACACACATAAACCTGTTTCCAGAGGGCCTCACTCACATGCAGTCTGTGTGAATGGTGCCCCTGGAGGTGGGAAGGCACAACTTGCTTGGTTGTAAGCTACAACCAAGTGAATCCATCAACAGGGGTCACTCAACATGCCCATAAAGTTCTGCTTTGTCACTTGATTAGCCAAGTACAGTGTTGCCTCCAAGTCCCCTTGGCTAGTGGAAGAAGCAGACAGCAGCAGTCCCTAAACTCTGTTCCGCAGATTTTTGAGGATTATTTGAAAAGTCTTTCTACTCACAGAGTTCCTGTCTGGGCAGTCAAAAGTGGCTTCTTCTCTGTGGAAGGTCACAGTTAAGAACTTTACTGATGCCCAGCTGGCATGGCTCAGTAGTTGAATGCCAACCTATGAACCAGGAGGTCAGGGTTTGATTCCCTGTCAGGGCACATGCCGGGGTTGCAGGCTCCATCCCCAGTTGGGGGCGTGCAGGAGACAGCTGATCAATGATTCTCATCATTGATGTTTCTCTCTCCCTCTCCCTATCTCTCTGAAATCAATAAAAAATATATTTATTTAAAAAGAGCCTTACTGGTATTTTATTTATAGTATAATAGTTTAGGTATAGAAGTAAAGACCTCTCCTTGGGGCTTCTTGTTCCGATTCTAGAAAAGGATTTACATCAGCCTTCCCTGTGACGTAAGAGTGTCTGCAGGTGTGGGCGTGGTGCAGGATCCTTCCCTGCAGGGTCCCTGAGATGGGGTGCCTGCGCCCATCCCTCTAGCGATCACTGTACCACTGTTTTCAAAATGCTGGTCTCACCCATTAGTGGACTGTGAATCAGTGGAGTGGGTCACATTTTTCTTTAATGGAAAGGAGTGGCAAGAATAGAATTGATAAATCAGCTCATCCCACACATTAAAGGTACCTGCTGTATTGTGAAACTTTTGTCCAATAATATGTTGGTTGGTGTCTTCCTGGTTCACAAAATAAAATGTTTACCTACTGTGGGCCATGGTAAAAAAATATTAGAAAAATTGTTCTAAAATCTAAAATTGTTCTCAACCCCGACTGAGAGTGTCCTTCTCCCGTACCTACAGGAGGGCAGTCCTGGAGGACCCGGCAGGGTAGAGAGAAGATCCCCTGGAGAGGGACAGCGGGGTGTGGCTTTCCGACGTGGGCCTTCCTCCCCAGGGGCTGTGTCACAGAGACTCTCCCTGTACCCAGACAGAGCCCCGAACTGGCGTCCCTACAGGGAACTCTTTGAGCCTCCTCTCCTTTCTGCAGGCCACACCATTTGTGTTGGGTGAGGAACACCCTTTGGGGAAAGGTTTTTCTTTCATTCATTCAATTGGCAAATATTTACCAAACAACTGCTGAGTGCTAGATGTGTATGACAAAATACACTAGAAAAATTAGCTCATGTCATGGTGTCCAAATCAATCAACTTTTCAGTGCATTTTTTGGCTATTGTATGTGATTGTGTCTTCTTGACTAACCACAGACACAGCTCATCTATATATATAAAAGGCTAAGTGGCTGACTCTTTGTCCATCGGACCGACCGACTGACCAACTGGTACATATGACGCACACTGGAAATTTAAAAATAAACATCTTCTAATCCATTTCCTTTCCATGTGCATGAATCCATGCACTAGGCCACTAGTAGGTTAATAAAAGCACTGAGCTCAGATGGGCCTGCCAAATATCAGGTTAGTGTCATCCACACAGACATTCCTCATCTTTTCTATAGATGTTTTCACTTCTGAAGGAAATGTTCAAAAAAGCTATTGCATGGCATCTCCTGGGGACCGAGAGCCCCTTGTACCGGATCCTCAAGCACATAAGAGCAGCACGTTGACGATGTCTGAAGTCTGAACATGGCCTCTCCTGGCCATTTATACTCATGTGATAGTAACATTTGCCAGAATGTGGAAGCTTTTTGTGTATAAGTGATAGTGCTTGAGCGGGTCAAGTGTTGTAAGTGGAGCTTTAAAACAGCTTTTCTTAAACTTAGGTGTGAGGCAATTTTTTATTGTGAGCCAACGTTCTAAAGATTCCTAACTCTAAATATTACACAGACTCTGGCAGTTCCAAGCAGCCTTCAAATACCAACATTTTTTCTCCTGGGAGCACAGGAACAGTTGTCATTGAGCAAGCCCGGGCTCCACAGGCATGCTTTGTGCCCACTCGGTGTGCCCCTGGCTCTCTGTTAGCTACAAGGACGTGGCAGAGACTGACTCTACTTGCCAACTTCATAGGAAAACAGCACACACCTTTTGAAGAATTATGGACTCCTGTGTAATTTTAAGGGCTAGAAAGTGCCAGCCAGACCAGGAGAACAGGGTGTGGGCTGGAATCTCTTGCATGGCACTTAGTGTATGGCAGTGGCTAGTTCCCAGGAATTGTAACTTGCTCCCTAAGGGCAGACTGGGTTTTATTCCCCCTTGGCATCTCTTGCCCAGATAGACAATGTGAGTTGAACTCAGCTGGCAGCAAGGGAGGGTACGGGAATCTGCACCCCAGCAGACGGACAGATGGAGGCTGAACTAGCAGATGACTGGAACATCCATTCTAATCTGGCAAGCACCAGACAGGAGCAAGAAGGGCACACATGGGGAGAGGGTGCTGAAGGGAGTAGAGGAAGGGCCTTGGAGAAAAAGGCAAGGGCGCCTGGTATAACCAGAAGCTGGAGCTTGCAAAACACCTCACCATAGTGGGTTTGGTGATGGTTGGGGGTGGGGTGCGGGGGGGAGGTACAGCCTGAGTCTGGGAGGCCAGTTGGGACCAGTTACTTGCCGTAATCCAGGCACGGGGCACTCATGGGTTAGTGTGGTGACACTGGAGCAATGACACTACCACTTTCAACACCTCCCCTCACCGAGACCTCTAGCAATGTTGCAGCCTCAGAGCAGCGAGGTCCCTTTTCCCATCCTTAATCCGCAGCCCTAGGCACTCCCACCACAGCAGAACCAGGGCCAGTTGTCATGTCTTTCCTCTCGCCTTTGCAATGAGTGTGCAGGTTCCAAAAGTGTTCTAAGAGATTCTACTACTTGTGATGATAGGGAGATAAAAAAATTTTAAGCAAATATGTGCTGATTTCAAAGTTATGTCTTAATGTTGCTGTAATAATTATACCTGTTTATAGCTGGAACATAAATAGAGCCAAATGTGATCTTTCTTTGTTTCTTTCTTACTCCCACAATAATTCATTACTTGTCCTTATAGTGAATGTCAGCTCCCTTCTCTCTGGATTTCTTCAATTCTCTAGAGCAGCGATTTTCAACTTGGGTGCCGCGAGTGCTTGCATTGTTTAGTCAGGGGCATTGATCTCTTTTCCCTTAGATTGTCAAATGAAAAAATGACAACAGCCACACAACAATAGCCATCTGGTGTGGACGAATCATATTATACCTATTTTTTGTCAGATCAGCAAAAATATCTTCTGGCGTGCCTCAGAATTTCAGTAATTAGTTTATTTGTGCCATGAGATGGAAAAAGTTGCTCTAGAGCAGTGGTTCTCAACCTTCTGGCCCTTTAAATACAGTTCCTCATGTTGTGAGCCAACCATAAAATTATTTTCATTGCTACTTCATAACTGTAATGTTGCTACTCTTATGAATCGTAATGTAAATATCTGATATGCAGGATGGTCTTAGGCGACCCCTGTGAAAGGGTCGTTCGACCACCAAAGGGGTCACGACCCACAAGTTGAGAACCGCTGCTCTAGAGCATGCACAAGAATCACCTGGACGATGGGTTAAAACACAGATTGTTGGGCTGTGAAGGTGAGACTGCTCTAGACATGTCTGTCCCACAAGCTGGACCCGACCCAGAATGGAGGATGCTTTCTGAAATCCCCCTTAGAGACTGCCTGATGGTAACTCATGTTCATTCTGACATAAATAAGCATCCTTCCCTGCCTTCTGCTACGTGCTGGTTCCTAGAACAGGTTGTTGTCCTGACCTGGTCAAACATGTAAAGTGATTTCTGTACCTGGTAGCATTCACATACATATCCACCCCTTTACCTTATATAATTCCCCTGCCAAGTAGCGAGGGGATCCATTTTGTAGCGCAGTCGCCCAAGACACACCTTATACATAAGTTTCCCTTAATAAACTCTATTAGTTCCCAGACTGGACTGACCAGCCTCTTTCTTCAGTCGTTCCCTGTTCTCCATTTCCAGAGGTAGATTTTCAGTCTCAGGGTTTTCGGTGGGTCTTGCTGTATGAACATCCTCCCCTGAGTTTCTGATTCAGAGCCTGAGTTGGGGCCCTAGAATGTGCATTTCTCTCCAGTGTCCAGTGATGCTGTTTCTGCTGGTCTGGGGACGACCCTCTGAGAACCCCTACTGTAGATCGTTGCTGTAGAAAATGAGATCCACAGACCAGTGGCATTAGCATCACCTGGGATCTTGTTAAATTGCAGATTTTCAGGTCTCATCCCAAACCTTCGGAATCAGAATCTGCATTTTAACAAGATCCCCAGGGGATTCCGATGCACATAAATATTTGATTCATTAATCTGGAGACTAGACCGGTGCCATCAGAATCTCTGGGGGTTTGACCCAGACACATTTTTTAAAAGCTCCTCAATCTCTTTCATTCTCATTCCACCCAACTCCCCCTTCCCACCCCTTTCCTTCCTTTTCCTCTGTTTACCCCAGGATAAAGAAAGAGATACAAAGAGAGTAAACAAAGATACTAAATATGGGTTTGGGTGGTGGATTCATGTGAAAGTCACTTATGTTCTAGCAGAAATCATGACTGTGATCCAGTAATGACTCCCTGGCTCTTTAGCCCTTCAGTGCCCCTGATCTCCACCTGTGGGAGCAGCCAACCACTGTCAGTGCTGACAGGTCCTTCTCCCTGCAGGCCAGGCTGAGTCCCAGCGTCTCTGACTGCTCATTTCAACAACTAGGCCTCCACCACAGCTCCTGCTCTTCAAAACACGTTCTTTAACTTGTTCAATACCTGATTTGGTTCCTTGACCTCTTCCTCATCTTCTAGGACAGACCTACTCAGCTCCTCAGGGCCCTCTTGGGTTCTATCCCTGATTCCTTGACCGCATGTCACCTGTGGGCCTGTGGGTAGCTTTGGAGCATTCCACCTGCCGCCCCAGACTCCTGCCTCGTGCTAGTTGCTGAGATCAGCCAGAGTGGCCTTTCGGGTGGACGGACTGGTCTCCAGGTTCCAGTGAAGGGCTGCCTCTGGAGTCTTGACTCTGATAAGCTACAACAACAGCTTGCTTGTCCCCCGAAAGTCATCTTGGGTCTCTAACCTTTCAACACTGGGTCTCTAAAACTCAGATGCTGATTGGATATGAAGGAAGAGGAAGCCATAACTCCAGTATTTTAAGCCTATGTAACTAGGAGGACATTTGTGCTATTTGAAAGAAATAGGCTGTCCGAGGTAGCGATGATTAGCAGGGGACGATAATGAATTCTGTTTTGATTTCTCTGTTTCCAGTGAAGACATTCATTTGTTGTTGGGTTTTCCACAACCTCCTGGAAACAGGTCCCAACAGTAAATTATTTTAAGAAATGTTGCAATGCCATGTAAACTCCTTTTGACCATAGAGCAGTGGTTCTAAACCTTGGCTGCACATTAGAATCACCTGGGAATCTTTTTAAAATCCTGATTTCTGAGCCTCATCCTCCAGAAATTCTGTTTCTTTGTTACTAATGTGTGGCCCCACCCCATAACAAAGAAACAGAATTTCCGGAGGATGAGGCCTAGAAATCAGGATTTTGAAAAGATTCCCGGGTGATTCTAACGTGCAGCCAGGGCTGAGAACCACTGCCATAGAGCTTGTTTTCTTTTCTTTGCTTTCATATATTAACATTCAAAGAAAAAAGAAAGAAAGGAAGAAAGAACGAGCATATGTTAGCATTCCACAGAACATTCCAGTTTGAAATACTAGAGAGAAGTTTGAGTGTGAAATCTAGGCTAATAAGATTTGTGAGTCAACAGCATAGAAGTGATCGTTTAAACCGGTGGTTCTCAAACTTTATCTTGCATCTGAAACAATTAATGGGCTTCTTAAAATACAGACTGCTGAGCCCAACCCAGAAGACCTGATTCTGTAGATCTGGGTTGGAGTATGAGAATTTGCATTTCTGTAGAGTTTCCAGGCAATGCTGTTGCTGCTGGTTCAGGACCCACTTTAAGAACCACACTCTTGCCCTAGCTGGTTTGGCTCAGTGGATAGAGCATTGGCCTGCGGACTGAAGGGTCCAGGGTCCCTTCCAGTCAAGGACATATGCCTGGGTTACAGATTC